GCCACAACAGTGATGCGCATCCGGAGCCTGTGCTCCGCAACGGGAGAGGCCACAGCAGTGAGAGGAAAAAAAAAAAAAAAAAAAAAAAAAAAAAGATAGTATCCACCCAGAAATAAATCCTCATATATATGGTCAAACAATTTTTGACAAGAGTACCAAGACCATTCAATGGGAAAAAGACAGTCTTTTCAACAAATAGTGTTGGGAAAACTGTTATCCATATGCACAGAAGTAAAGTTAGACCCTTACCTTACACCATATACAAAAATTAATTCAAAATGGATCAGAGACCTACACATAAAAGCTAACACTATAAAACTCTTAGAAGAAAACAGGCAAAAATCTTCATGACATTGGATTTGGCAATGACTTCTTGGATATGACACCAAAGACACAGGCAACAAAAGAAAAAATTAACAAATTGGACTTCATCAAAATTGAAAACTTGTGCAACAAAGGGCGCCTCTGGCCAGAGGTGGAAGAAATGGTGGAAACTGAGGATTTAAATAAATAGGGTAACTGTAGATAGTGAGGAGGGCTCTGAAGGAAATAAGCTGGGTGATGAATCAGGGCATATTTTAGTCCATTTAGGCTGTTATAACAAAAATACCATAGACTGAGTATCTTACAAATAACAGAGGTTTACTTCTCACAGGTCTGGAGACTAGAAGTCCAAAATCAAGACATCCGCAGATTCACGGTCTGGTGAGAGCCTGCTTCCTGGTTCATGGATGGCTGTCTTTGCACTGCAGTCTCATATGGCAGAAGTGGGCAGGGAGCTCTCTGGGCTCTTATAAGGATCCTAATCCCATGCATGAGGGCTCCACTCTCATGACACAATCACTTCCCAAAGGTCCCACCTCCAAATACTATCACATTGGGATCAGGTTTCAGTTAATGAATTCTTGGGGCACACAAACTTTCAGTCTATAGCAGGGTGTTCTCAGGAAAGGCCACTTTAGATAGGGCTTTAGCGGAAGCCGTCCCTCAGGAGGTGACCTCTGCACCGTGACCTCAGGAGGAAGACTGGGCCATGGAAAAAGCTGGCAGTGGGCTCATCTATAGGAAAAATCCATAGGTTCGGGTATTTTAGAAAACTCTTCTTCCTGAGCTAAGGAGTGTAATAGAGACAAGCACTCGATACTTTGCCATAATGGGCTTATGTAGATTCATCCCTCTCTCAAATAATGCTGGAATTTGACATGGGAAATAAGAAGCTTGGGCTGTGCTACAGTCCTGAGAGTAACTGTGCTCTGAGAGGATATTTTAAAAGAATTATCCTCCTGTCTGGAGATCATGCTTATACTATATGTGGCCATCTCCCTCTTTTTGGAAGTCTATTCCCTCTTCCTTTACTTAACTTGACATCTGGTAAAAGAGAATTTTGTTTAGCAATTTAAAGAAAACAAAACCCCCCAAACCAGACATGACACTATCTCAGTTAAAATTAAAAGTTTAATATAAGCATCAAAATCATGCTAATGATGAGGACTAAAAAGTAGGTATTAGGCAAACTTCTAAAACAAAGTACTATTATTTTTACACTTCAAATAAATCATAAAGTAAAAAATCGTAAAATATAAACATGTGCAAGGCAAGCATTAACAGTCCTTTCAGTGATTTGCCATAAACAGATGTTTTAAAAGTGCTACAGTTTAAGGCATTATATTTTAAAGTTTAATAAACATCTGATTTCAACATAATCTCACAGAAGAGTTTTTTTCTCAAGTCAGCTACAAACTGTTTGGTTAGGGGGTACTGAAAATGCATGTATAAATCGAAGAGTAATAAACTTGCTAATGCAAAGTTATTAGTGCAGTTCCGCAGCATATGAAATTCCAGATCAGAACAAACTGCCCTGCTCATGGTACAGGGTAATCCACACATGCATCATTCATCTAAAGTCTCTAGGGGCTTCCATGGTGGCACAGTGGTTGGGAGTCCGCCTGCCAATGCAGGGGACACGGGTTCAAGCCCTGGTCCAGGAAGATCCCACATGCCACGGAGCAACTAAGCCTGTGCGCCACAACTACTGAGCCTGCGCTCTACAGCCCGTGAGCCACAACTACTGAGCCCACGTGCCACAACTACTGAAGCCCATGCTCCACAACAAGAGAAGCCACCGCAATGAGAAGCCCGCACACTGCAATGAGAAGTAGCCCCCGCTCACCGCAACTACAGTTAGCCTGCGCGCAGCAAAGAAGACCCAATGCAGCCAAAAATAAAAATTAATTAATAAAAAATAAATAAAGTCTCTATAACAACCTCTCCATTCACTCACAGTGCCTATGCATTTCGTTTCTTAGTTTTTCTTCTTTAATTAACAAAAATCCTCAAGGCACCTAAAGATTGGCCTGTATTTCATTTATCCATATTGAAAATGCAGAGGGGCAGACTGGTATGAGATCAATGCAGACGGGCAGTACAGAGAAGTGGTACAGGAAGAACTCTCCAGTCACAAAGACTGCTAGGTTTGAAATGCACAGCGGTACTTTTTAACTACATGTAGGCCGTAACTTCTCTAAGCCTGAGCTTCATCAGGTACAGAATGGCATCCTCTTACTAAACATTCTTTAAGAATTATGTAAGCATACAAGTAAGGCATAAAGTATGGTGCCAGCATGAGGAAAGGCTCAAAAGTACAGTTGCTTATATTATTATCACAATTCTTTCTATATAAGGGGTATAATGGGAGAATAAAGAAAAGGGCTAGCCACTTTTGGAGCATGTTCTCTTTGGGGCAGGTCAGTTCTTCATTGTCTAGGACTGCTCAGACATTTAGCATCCCGGCCCATGGCAACAAAAAAGCCATTGGCACTCCCATCACTGTGATAACTGAAAACATACCCACATATTTCCAAATATCCCCTGAAAGAAGTCATTACCGTTTTTGAGAACTGTTCTTTTAGAGGGAGTTTATTTATTAAGAAACAATTTAGTTATCTTAAAAAGAATAAGAATGCCTTCCTGTCTTTGCAAGTCTTCAAGCATGAGATACATTAGGCCTGGTGGCAGGAAGAACAGTTAAGGAATGTTCAGTACAGTCTGAATCCTTTTCTCATAAATCCCAGTATTAAAATTCCAGAGCTCACTATTCAGGGCTCAAGTCAAAAGCCAGAGCTACATCCTTGTGAGTAAACACAGCAGAATGGAATTCTGCCATGAAGCCACTTCTTCAGCTAGGCTCACTGTTCATGTAGTTGAAATAGAAGGCAGACGTATACATTCAGACAATAACCTTTCCTCAACATACTAAACAAGGGTCCACTTCATTGCATGTCTACAAAAAGTAAAAACTAAAATCATCAACAAAAAGATAATAACAAAACAAGTCCTCCAAAACTGACGTAAGATCTGTGTCAAGAAAAGCTCTAGGGCTTCCCTGGTGGCGGCACAGTGGTTAAGAATCCGCCTGCCAATGCAGGGGACATGGGTTCGAGCCCTGGTCTGGGAAGATCCCACATGCCGCGGAGCAACTAAGCCTGTGCACCACAACTACTGAGCCTGCGCTCTAGAGCCCATGAGCCACAACTACTGAGCCCACGCGCCACAACTACTGAAGCCTGCGCGCCTAAAGCCCCTGCTCCGCAACAAGAGAAGCCACCGCAGCGAGAAGCCGGTGCACCTCAACAAAGAGTAGCCCCCGGTCGCCGCAACTAGAGAAAGCCCGCATGCAACAACGAGTACCCAACACAGCCAAAAATAAATGAATAAATTTTAAAAAAAATTAAAAAAAATAAGAATCTGCCTGCCAAAGCAGGGGACCTGGGTTCGAGCCCTGGTCCAGGAAGATCCCACATGTCATGGAGCAACTAAGCCCGTGCACCACAACTACTGAGCCCACGTGTGCCCTAGAGCCTGTGCCCCGCAACAAGAGAAGTCACCACAATGAGAGCCCATACACGGCAATGAAGAGTAGCCCCTGCTCACCGCAACTAGAGAAAGCCCACGCAGCGATGAAGACGCAACGCAGCCAAAAAGAAATTAAGTAAAAAAATAAATAAGAAAAGCTCTAATTCATTGTCCCCTAAACCCACGTCCTTCTCTGATGAAGTATTCAAGTCTGAACACCACTTTCATGTTGTCATGGGTCTTAAACAGGTAGGTCTTCCTTCTCCTCCTGAAATTGTTCTCCAGAGCTTAACAGTACTTTGGTGATGTCAGAAAAGATGGAGCGTTTGACCATCATTCATGCCAAGATAGAGAAGTCAAATTTTTTTTTTTTTTTTTTTTTTTTCGGTAGGGGGCCTCTCACTGTTGTGACCTCTCCCTTTGCGGAGCACAGGCTGCGGACGTGCAGGCTCAGCGGCCATGGCTCAAGGGCCTAGCCACTCTGCAGCATGTGGGATCTTCCCGGACTGGGGCGTGAACCCGTGTCCCCTGCATTGGCAGGCGGCCTTTCAATCA